TTTTATTTTTATTATAATTTTGTGCACACTCTACTTCACAATAATATCTTCATCATCATCATCTTTATTATTTCGCTAATATTCTTGCAAAGCTCATCAATCAATTGCTGCAATATTTTTAAATTCCAATATATGTTCTTTCTATTATCTTCTGTTCTTAATATGTGTACTTACAGAGCCCTTCTCATTGAACCACCTCAAAAACAAAGTAATAACAAAAACAAATAATTAAAAAAAAAAAGAAAACAAAAACAAATCGGTTATAACTTTGATAAAGTGCAAATTTAACTGAAGTAACCAAATAGAAAAAATAATTAAATACAAAAAAGAGTAATACAACAAATAATACACTGAAAGAAAAGAAAGAAAAAATGGAAAATTACCGAAGCAAAAAGCCAGAAACACACGTAAACAAATGATAAGGAACAACCAAGTTTAGCGTTAAGAAGTTACATATACATATTTACAGACTTGTTGTGAAGCTATAAAGCCTGGGCTAGCTCGGTGAGAGTGGCCTAAAACCTGTGAGCCCGGTAGGTTCTCATATAGGTACCACGCACACCGACACAAACATTTTGCGGCAGTTCACAAAAGCGAGCGCAGTCAACAGCACTAAGTTTTTCGTTACCTTGAGGAGAAAGCTAGAACATTAAAACAACCATATAAACGGTATGGTAACAATAGTGCGCATACTAAATACACACACACATACGCACACTTATGGTGAACCAATTCTACTGAAGCGTTGCTCTGATTGCTTATGTGCGTTGGATTGTGCAACCAAAATCAACTATAAAACGTAACACTTTGTCGCTTCCGTCTAAACACCTGCCTATAACACCAACGATGTGTCCACACACCCACGCATACGAATGTACTCAAATATTATGTCCTGCATACACACATCTAAGAAGCCATTCGATGAACACCTGAGTTCTAGTGACGTTTTGTGTACAAAAACCTATATCGTAAATAAGTAACTGTTATATGTTTGTTTGTATGTTAATATGAAATAAGTAAATCAGCTTTGGAGTAGTGCTTATAGTTTCTTGCAATAGCAAAAATAACAAAATACCATCTCAAAACGGCTGCATGTACAGCTACTTGGGAGAAGTATTGTAAAAAACGTGTTGCAGTTTTGTTATTACACCGGTGTAAAGTATAACGCACAACCACACAACACCACCGCGACCTCCGCACCATGCGGAGCGCTGCAGACTGCTAAGAGAGCTTGGCCGTGCTTGTGCGCCTATAGTTATTTTCAACAGCAAAACGAGGAAGCCAACTATCTTCATATAATTGTATTGGTCGATCGTTTTTTCTGTCCACCAATTTGGAAACGAATGCAAAATTTCAAACTATTTTAAAAGCACATTTACATATTTACTTTACTCTTACTTTTTAATTCGTTTTACTTTTATACAATATACGACCTAAACGAGAAAATAACGGTTTACACTGAATAAATTTTAACTGAATTTTTGGCGATTAAACACAAATCCCACAAAAAATCCAACAAACTAAGTTAAAGAAAGAAGAAAAAAATATATAAAAACAAAAACAAAAACAAAAGCAAAAACACAAATAAGATTTTACAATTTTCCACATACTGTCAACAACAACTACTTACATACATACACACATACATATTGTGTACGTATTTGTAATCTGAGTATAAAAATTATAAAATTAGTTGAGAAGCTTAATTAATGGAAGAATAATTAAAAAAAAAAAACGTAAAAATATGGTAATAAGTTGTAAGTGAGTAAAACAAAAAAAGGAGTAAATAAACAAAAACAACAAAAGAAGTGGTAATAAGAAGATACACACACGTGTTTGTAGTGAATGTTAATAAATGAATGATAACAAAAATACAAAGATTATATGTAAAAAAAAACTTTTTTGGTATTTCATTTCAACTTATCAATGTGTGGGGTTAATCATGTGCACGGTGGCACAGAAACATTTTGTACTGTGCTTGTGGCTTCAATTTTTTCCACTAAACGCTCAACTGTTGATCTGACAGTACGATTATGACGACCATAAATTGAACGTAGCGCTCTTAAAGATGAGGCCAATGACGCAACGAATTTCGGTAGTAAATTTGAATAATTTCGACTCGTTGCTGGATCGTATATCTTTCCATTATGTCAAAGAAACGGGAAAAATATGACGTCGTTTGTTCTTCCTATCGTTCTACTTTTGTAGCGTCCATATCTTTGATTCGTCATGATTTTATGCCACAAATTCGCTTGTGGAATTTTTTTTATATATATTTTTGGATGCATGATGATTTGAATCAGGGAGCAGAGTGGCGAATCGAAGATGTGCATCTACATAGCTATATAACTTCTTAGCTCTTTATTAGTTCCATCTAGAAAGTTAAATACAAGCTGAAAGCCTAGGCTTATGTGGACAAAATTTACACGAGGTTAAAGACCAAAGAAATAATTTTTTTCGCAATTTTTGGTTTTTAAATAAAAAAAACTTACTGTTTTCCTGAAAACCGCGAAAGCCTATTTTTTACCCTTGATCTAGAGTAAATTTATTTCCACACCTAAATACTCGTAATCTCACAAAATACATACCTACCACAAATTGAAGAGAAGGGAGATATTTGACAACCTATATACATATTTGGTTCTAAATACTTAACACGTCGGTAACAACCACGGGTTTTTGAGAGTTTTGAAGAATCTCTTGTATTTGGCACAATTGATCTGCTTTGCAGAAGATTTTCCCAGTTGCTGGATTTTGACAATTATGTATACTATAATAAGGAATGGTAGTAATAGATAATACGAAAAAAATGACTACAGCTGACTCGCCATCTGTGACAGGTGTGCGTTCATAAGCTATATTTTGGTTTACGGTTGCCTATCACCGACCGTGGTCCGAGTTAAAACAATGCACTCCTCGCCGAAACAGCACGTTTGCTACCGTTGGATGACCTCGATGACAACTTATCTAATCCTTAACATCCTAGCTGCCGTTACCACAGCAGGAGTGACCACCGTCCATATATTATATATTAACGTCAACATAGTACGGGGGAATCAAAGACAAGGGTTATTTTGTCTTCAGAAGGTCCTTCAACTGAACAAAACTATATAGCATGAGGAATTGGCACTAAAGATCTTTATGGCCCGATCAAAATCGTTTATGGATGCAGCTAATAAGAATTAATTTTGAATGAATCCAGGAATCAATGTTACTGTTTTTTTATCCATTATGTAAAGATATGATATCTGACCTCATCATACAAAGCCGTACCTAACTGTGTTTAGTTTATATTTATTTCATGTTACATAATTAAAATAACGAAGGCGTTATAAATCACTGACTTTCTATTATAAACCGCAGCACTTCAATCCAAKTCATTAAACGATACCATATACCAGTCGTATCATCTCCACAAGCGACAAGTGTTGTCTTTCGAAGCCGTGACTATAATATCACCCGCATAGCTAAATGCGCAGGAGAATACTTCAGAATCGTGGCCGCTTAAAACCTGTGAACACTGACCGGACTCCGTAAACCATAGACGCGCCGTGTTATCGGCAGAAGCCGTCAAAAGTAGAGAACCTGGTGGACTAAAGCAAACCTGCAAGCAAACCGTTTTAGTGTAAGAAATGGGAAAACAAAAGCAACCAACACTGCACCTTTGACACCTCATCTTTATGACCCTCCATAATGGAGAGCTGCACTAAATCGCCACGTACGTCCCACACGCGTGCCGTACAGTCGCTGCTACATGTGGCCAAACGACAACCGGTTGAGTCAAAACAAACGTCTAGCACCTCCTCGCGATGCCCCGTTATTTTGTATAACGGCACGTTCAGTCGACGTACATCCCATAGCTGGGCGGTGCTGTCCAGCGAAGCCGTGGCAATTCGATCACAGGAGAAATTCCACACACAGTTACTTAGTTCGGCCGTGTGACCGCGTAGTTGTGCGCTTAGGCTGCATGGTAAATATTTAAAGAGAAATGAATGGGATCTTTGTGAAAATATCATGAAATTCATAAACTACCAGCCACTACGTATGTCCCAAATGGCAGCGGTGCTGTCAAAGGATGCGGTGAGCAACATATTGCCACAGCGACTGAAGCGACTCACAATCACCTCGGCGCCGTGTTGACGCAACTGCTGTAGCTCGAAAGCCGTCTCGATGTCAAATAAGCGCGCGCTACCATCCATGGAAGCGGTGGCAATAACACGCGATTGTATGGGATCGAATTCAGCCATCACCAGTTCGGCTGTGTGACCGTACAGCGTGCACAACGATTGGCCATTCCAAGTTTGCCAAACACGCGCCGTGCCATCGAACGAACCGGTGACCACCTTGTCGCTGTCGAAATACAAGTAACGGTTAAGTTAATTAACTTAGGAAGAAAAGGGCCATGTAAGAAATACCATTTTGGCTGATTAAAGGCAACGGAGAAGACAACATTATCGTGCCCCTTTAGTAGCTGCTCCTCCATGGTGTCGTGTGTATTGATAATGCGACAAATGCGGTCGTAACTGCCGGTCAAGCAGCGCGTACCGCTTCTGTCGAAGCAGATGTTGGTCAGTGGCAACAGGTGTGTCACACGACGTTGCGAATAGAATTTCTTCTGTGTGGGCTCCAACAATTTGCGTTGCAATTTCGAAATTGCCTGCCGCAGCGGATCCGTATAGTTGTCGATAATTTGTTGTAGAAAAAGTGTATCAGTTGTTATGTCTTTCTTGTCAGCTTGTGGTGAGTCCAATATGTGTTGTTGTTTATCAGCGACGCCAGCTGCACAATTTGGTGCTACGGTGCTGCAAATACTACGACCTCCTTCCTGAGAGTTTGGTAAATTGTTTGTAATGGTTTTGATCACACTCTCCACTCGTGTGCTGCGGACGAAATGTCAGAAATAATAATTTTATTTTTAGTTTTCTAAGACACATACTTCGCCTTTAGGTTCAGTAGATCTATGTGGTGCAGCGTTTCCTTGCCATCGGCGGTGCGACAGTTGAGCGCCAAACCTACAAATCCAAGATTTGCTTAAAGGAAATGAAGCTGCTTCGGTGTCGAGCTTACCTGGAGGGTAATAACGTAAATATATTTTAGTTAAGCTCATTTCTTCTGGTTTAATTCGCACTTTGCTTGTTTCGTTACAAATATAAAATTTTGAGAAATGTATACTACATATATTTCTTAACAATATTTTACTAAGGAACATTCAATAGAGTATAAAAACTAAACCAGCAACGAACCCGTCAATTGCTTTACTAAAAAGGTGCCTTTCGTTTGTGTTCTCCCGCTGGATCAATAAATTTCGTAGGGCACCTTAAGTGTAGGGGCGTTGCTAAGTGCATTTTAAGCAGCATTTCTGTTATCGTGAAGCCACTGCGTATAAGTAATAAGCAAACAGCCAATAGCAGTGGCTTGCAATGGCATTGTTGATTTAGTTATTAGCTTCAAGCTTATTTATGCTTTTATTGTTGCGCATAGACCCTGTTGCATGTCTATAGCTAATTTACACTCCTACAATTACTTAGCACACACTGAGTATCATACCTCTTCATTGTAATTGCAATAAACTTGAAAGAACCAGTGTAAAAGTTGTTTATCCTATAATTGAATGTATATTCATCTAGAGTTGAGGTTTCATTAGATCTTCTAACTTATTATCGGATATATTCACCTCAATACAAACTTAACCTCAACTTAAAAAGAACCGGAGCGACACAAATTAGTGGTTTCTTGGAATTAAGTTGATGTGATTCAAATCTTCTTTCCATTGGTAGTGTTTTTTACACAGCGCACAACTCTGGGGTAGTAATGTTTCGTCTTCTCACTTTAGCTACCCTTCAAGTGCATGTTTTTTGGCTACCCAAAGGATACTTGGTCAAAGAACGGAAGTCTTGTCCTGCTTGAGCTATATGTAAAAGAATGGTTCCCCAGGAGAAAGGCGTTCAGAAAATTTCCTCACTTCCGTCCATCCTCCCGATAACGATGGAGCGGACGATTCATTGCCCAACCATGAAAAGTTCGAATAGCAATTACCCGTTTGAAGAACAACAAAGCGGTTGGATTGCCAATGCATTGCAGGCCGATCTATTCAAATATGGTCGGACGAAAGCATGCCCAGCGATTGGAAGTGTGCCCAATTCACAAAAAAAGAGACCCCAAAATCTGCGCCAACTATCGTGAAAAAAGCCTCCTCAATAACGCATATAAGATTCTATCTAGCGTATTGTGTAAAAGATTAAACCCCACCGTCCATAAGCTGATTGGACCTCATCAGTGTGGCTTTAGACCTGGAAAATCATCAACTGACCAGATATTCAATATGCGCTACATTTTGGAAAAGACCAGTGGAAGGAGAATAGAATTACACCACGTCTTCGTCGATTTTAAAGCTTCTTTTGATAGCCCGTAAAGAAGCTGCCATTATGCCGCGATTACTCAATTTGGTATCCCCGCAAAACTAATACGGCTGTGTAAATTGACGTTGAAAAATACCAAAAGCTCCGTTAGGACCGGGAAGGGCCTCTCCGAGCCGTTCGATACTAAACGTGGTTTCAGACAAGGTGACACCCTTTCATGCGACTTCCTCAATCTACTCTTGGCGGAAATACTTCGAACTGCAGAACTTAATCACTCATTATTCCCGTTCTGCTTTATAGTCCTTTGAGCATTGGTAACGGCGAATACCGCAGTTGATCGAACGATGAGCTCTTCTAGGTATACGTCGACATTGACATAGTTCAGCGAATGAAAAGACAGCGGCTACGCTGGATAGCTCATGTCGTCTGAATGGATGAAAACACTCTTACTTTGAAATTATTCGACCCCCCGCCAGGGGAAGCAGAGGAAGAGAAAGACCACCACTCCGTTGAAAACCCAGTTGGAGAAGGGAAAGGCACGGAATCTCCAATTGCTGCCAACATCGAAAAGGAAAAACGACTGGCGCTGTTGTAAACTCGGCCATAACATAAGCGGTGTCTACGTCAATTAAGAAGAAGAAGATAAATAAAATAAATAATCTCCGCAAATAACCGTTTATTTTCATTTTAATATAAATTTTGACATTCCTAAACCACTGTATTTTATGGCGCTTTTAGTACAAAAAGCTTTCCGCTGGAAATAGGGGGAAATTTTGGTTGTTATATTTAGTTAGAAGTGGACAAAAATGTGTAAATATTTGTTTCTTAAACAGCAGCATAAGAATTATGATTTGGCTTTTTGCCATTTGAGGTATAAATGTGGGGAGAGAATATAGGCAGGAAAAGTTGTTAACTAATATGGACAAATGCTTAATATTAGTTTTAAGGGGGTATTCTACTCTAGAATTTTGAAAAATCCAATTTTTTTTCAAATCACCAGACTCAACGACGAGCTCAAGTTACCGCGAGAATCGAGAGTTACCCTTCGGAGCTTCGTTCTGGATACTGTACCGACACATGAAATATATGTATGTTATATGTCCAGCATGCAACGAGTCCCTCCATGACACTAACTACATCAGCATGTCCAGAATACCCAACACATCTGGCAGCCCTCTCTCAATAGTTCGATCTTGTGAAAACAGCGCGTTTCGTCGGCCTACTGTTGAATAACGTCGATGACAACTTACCTGAACTTACCTTAACTTTCTCACCGGGACTATATAACCGTTACAACAACATGATTCATGGATTTTGTAACAGAATTTAATCTGGTAACGCAAAGAACCAAAACCGGTCTAGGCGTGGCTCATCAGCTTACCAGACTAACTTTACCTAACCTCAGCTGCAATAAAAGTATTTGAAGAATTCGGCAAAAAAACTCTATTTTTGGACTGGACTATCTTATAGTTACACTTTTTTTAGGGTGAAATGGTCCTTTACTAATCGGATTATAAAATAAAAAAAAAACCGCTTTATTTTTTTTAAGTGGTTCATACTAGTTACAAACTAGTCCGATTGTTATGTCTATAATTTCGAAATTATTATACCTTTTATTAAATTTATTAAATGAAAATGCATTTGAATCACAATTTAGAACATTCTTCGAATTAGAACAAATAATTTACGTGAAAGTCAAGAATCGTCATGTAAAACTACTAAAAAAATATATATGTATATGCTTTGACCTTCCTATACAATATAGTGTACATATGCATGAATGCACTTGTGTTTTTATAAAATTACTCTGGCAACATTTGTTGCTTAATAGTGCTAATCTATGCTAGATATGTAATATATATAATATATTTTACTAACATATATTTACTTTCGATATACAAACGTTTACAATTGAGCCACATGAATTGCAGCGCATAATGCTTGATCAACGGGGCGTATAAGTGATTATTTTCAATGGCCAGCAGACTGTCCACTAAGCTTATCGGCATTGTTGTACACAAAAATTAGTTTAGACGGTAGGCTATTACAAGCTTATAAATATATATACATGTATTACACAAATATAAATAAAAATGATTTTCGTCTGCGGTCAGAGAAAAAGAGCCGTTATTGTGTCATTAACAAAGTGTCTGTGGCAACATGCCGAAACACTTAGAGTAGCATAAGTACATACATTTTGTATATATGTATGCACATACACCGGTACTTATCGAACGTCAATAGCGGTACTATGGGTCTAGTGTAGCGCTTGTGTACGCATCAAAGGTCCCTAGCGGTAGCCACGACAAACAAGAAGAAAAATGAACAATTTTAATAAACGCACAATGGCGACTAAGCAGCCAGCAGTCAAGCGACCTTGCGCATATCATATTGATACACAGACGAGGACGCATACAAACTGACGCGTGCGGGAAACTAGAGAGCTTACGAACAATAAATGTGCTTAGAAACGCTGCTTGAATGCCATCAACACTGATAACTATAGTCTACAAGCAGTTTGAAAAGTGGTGCCATTGCGGCTCTTGTGGCGCAACACCAAAGATAAAGGCAGCAGCATAAAGCGATAGTTGAAACATAAATGTGGAAGTTGGCGGAGGAGATGGCTTTAAAGATGAGTAGCTGCTGCCTGAAAGACTGTCGCATGAATGAAAGCGAGCGCGTTGTGCGAACTATCAGCGGTTGATGGCGAAATTAAGGTGAAGAAAGGATAGATTTGAATGAATGGACTTTGGTTGGTGGCTTGGTTGGTGACACTATCGCTGGCTGTGGCAGACGTTGACTTTGAAAAGACGAATACGATGGGAAGCAAGAGAAGTAGAACATTAGCACAAAAATGGCAAAGTGGCTTTGTTGTCTATTACCATAACTAATACTCACCATGCAACTATTGTATGTTGATATTGTTGTTGCTAGCTTTTTTTTTGTTATGACAACTTTTTTGCTGCTATTTTGTGTAGCTGTAATCTTTTTCGCTTACATTTCAGCTTTCTTCGCCTTTGTTATCGGCGCCTTATTTATGACATTGTCGGAAATCTCAGAAATTTTCGAACAACCACAAGCCAGCGAGAGTTTGCGCCAGACACCTGCATATACGGGTTGTGCAAAATATACATACATACACACATACATTCCTCAGTGAACTGTACTGGCTACTTGAGAACCTGAGTGACCGCAAAATTCTATATTTCTTCCTCTGCTTGCGACAGTATACCTTTCACAGCGATTGCAAGCAACTATTCGCATGTCGTTGTTGTTGTTTTGTTATTAATATTGTTGTTGTAAGCGAGTTTTGTCACTGACAGGGATTACATTATAGTAGTTTTGGTATATCCATGACCAACTTGGCTCGCAGCATCGTGTTTTTATGGCTGCTGTTATGCTTTTTGTCTGCCTCTTCGCCTCCATCGCCATCTGCATCCATTATATCCATTTGTGACTTCGCCTTTGTTGCTTTTATTGCTTTCATTATTCCTTGTCAGGTTTTTGAGCTTTTCGTGTGATTTTTTGCCTGTCATCTTGGTTTCTTTTTATTTGCGTCCAAACAGCTGTCTGCAATGTGTATCTCCGTTGCCCTTGTAGGCGGGAAGAGTGGTAAACTATCTCAATACTAAAGTGGTGAAATTAATTTGGTGAAATTGTAGTCATTGTTGTTGGTAATTTTGTTAAAGAATTGAAGAAAAGTGTTGACAAGTTAAGAACTTTGCGAAATACTGAATTGTGTGTCTTT